AGTTTCCAGATTCCAGTGTTAGAGAATTGCTTTCTGCTTCTTACTGAACGGGGGGGGGAACGGGAAACCACCCTGGTTAGCGTCCCCGAATCGGTTAGAGTATTGCTTTCTGCTTCTTACTGGACATTATTATTGTCCGCGCGAGGGGGGGGAACGGGAAACCACCCTGGTTAGCGTCCCCGAATCGGGTGCTCTGAATTTCTGGGGGGCCGAAGGACACGTAAAAATAACAACTTATTCGATATTCGCGTACACGTGGCCAGAAACTCTTGCAACTTACGCAATATTCGCATTGCCGAGGCTAAGAATGCTCCAAGGCGCCCGAAGATTGTTCCAAGACGGCCTAAGATGGCCCCAAGAGGCCCCACGAGCGCTCCAAGAGGCCTCCAAAGAAAAAACAAAACATCTACGATTGTTTTCGAAGGAGCTCCAAGATGGCTCAAGAAGCTCGCAAGACCGCCCCAAGACAGCCCACGACGCCTCCAAGAGGGCCCCAAGACGGCCCGAGAGGACTCCAAGATGGCCCAAGAAGCGTTCCGAGAAGCCCCGAGAAGCCCCCCAGGAGGCCCCAAGAGGCGCCCCAGACGCGCCAGAGAGGTATCCAAGAGACCCAAAAGTACCCCACGAGGCCCCAAGAGGCGCCAAAACCGCCTCCAAGAGGCCTCTGGGATGCCCCCCCACGAAACCCCAACACAGATACAAGAGGCCTGTGACCCACAACCCAGACACGGTGGCGGGATGGGCCATATGCCACTAGGATCCGCCGCCCCCTGTTGATTCATCACAGGGGTGCCTGGCGTGCTGAACTTCTTACGATTTTGGTTTTGGTTCTTTTCCAACAGAACTCTCCCAATGGGCTCCGGCGCGTCCCGCCGGGTTCCGGGAGGATGCCGAAAGATCTTCCAGAGGTGGTTGTAAAGTGTTTTTCCGTTCCAGACGGTTCCAAGATGGCCGAAGATGGCCTCCAAGATGCATCCAAGACGGCCAAGATGGCCTCCAAGACGGCGAAGACGGCTCCAAGATGCCTCCCAGACGAGTCAATATTTATCCAAGACGGCCTAAGATAGCCTCAAGATGGCCCCGGACGGCACAAAAGGCCTCCAAGAACGCCCACGACGCGTCGAAGAGGTCCTCCAGGAAGGCCCGAAGAGGCCAAAATCATTGAGTTGCAACAGGTTTTTGAAGGATTTTGGCATTTGCTTCTTCTCGGCATTCCGACGAGACGGCCCAAGAGACCCCCAAGATCGCCCCAAGATCGCCCAAGAGCCCTCCAAGAGGGCCCCGTGACGGCCCAAGAGGCTTCCAAGACGGCCCCAAGAGGGCCCCAAGACGGCCCAAGGCCTCCAACACGCCCAAGATGACCTCCAAGACGGCCAAGATGGCCTCCAAGACGGCCCCGAAGCGCCCCAAGAGGGCCCCAAGTCGGCCCAGAAAGGCCCCCAAGACAGCTCCCGACGGCGTCAGACGTGCCAGGAACTCACCAAGATGGCCGAAGTTGGCTCGAAGCTGGCCCAAGACGGCCCAGGAGGCCTCCAAGAGGGCCTCCAGGAAGGCCCGAAGAAGCCAAAATCATTGATTTGCCATAGGTTTTTGAAGGATGTTGGCATTTGCTTCTTCTCGGCATTCCGACGCCCCCAGACGGCCCAAGAGACCCCCAAGATCGCCCCAAGATCGCCCAGAGCCCTCCAAGATGGCCACAGAACTGCCCAAGACGACCCCAAGACGGCCCCAAGAGGCCCCCAAGACGGCACAGGAGGCCTTTAAGACGCCCAAGATGGCCTCCAAGACGGCCCTGGAGCATTCCAAGAGGGCCCCAAGTCGGCCCATAGAGGTCCCCCAAACGGCTTCCGACAGCGTCGGACGGACCAGGAGCCCACCAAGACGGCCGAACATGAAGACGGCCCAAGAGGCCTCCAAGAGGGCCTCCAGGAGGGCCCGAAAAGGCGAAAATCCTTGATTTCCCATAGGGGTTTTGAAGAATTGTGGCATTTGCTTTTTTTCTGCCTTCCGACGGCCCGAGACGGCCCAAGTGGTCCCAAAGATCGCCCAAGAGGCCCAAGACACAGCCCCAAGAGGCCCCCAAGACGGCCCAAGAGGACTCCAAGACGCTCAAGATGGCCTCCAAGACGGCCCAAGAGTGCTTTAAGACGTCCTCCAAGAAGGCCCGAAAGAGTCAAAATGGCCTCCAGACGGCCAAGGTGACCTTCAAGATGCCCACGTGTTCCCCGAAGGCTTTCCAAACCGATTCGGAGAACACATGGTCCGATAGCTTTGCAGGTCTGGCCTCAACGTTCGGCCACATAGGCGCTTCCAAAAAGGCAGGGGGCGGCGGTGATTCGCCGTAGGCGTCCTAAATTCGCCGCCCCCTTTTGATTTATCAAAGGGGTGCCTGGCGTGCCGGACGATATGGCTTTTGGTTTTGGTTCTTTTTCCAAAAAAACTCCCCCTGGGGCTTCGGCCCGTCCCGCCGGGGTCCCGGGAGATTCCCGAAAATCCGTCCAGATGGCCTCCAAGACGGCCAAGATGGCCCAGGATGGCCTCCAAGATGCCTCCAAGACAGCCAAGATGGCCTCAAAGACGTCTAAGATGGCTCCAAGATGCACCCAAGACGGCTCAAGATGGCCTGAAGATGGTCTACGACGGCCCAAAAGGCCCGCAAGAGGCCTCGAAGACGGCCCAAGAGCCCTCCAAGACGTCCTCCAGGAAGGCACGAAAGGGCCAAAATCATTGATTTGGCATTTGCGCCTTTTCGGCTTTCCGACGCCCCAAGAGGCTCCCAAGATCGCCCAAAGATCGCCCAAGAGGCCTCCAAGATGGCCCCATGACGGCCCAAGACGCCCCCAAGACGGCCCCAAGAAGGCCCCAAGATGGGCCAAGAGGCCTCCAAGACGCCCAAGATAGCATCTAAGACGGCCCTGGAGCACCCCAAGAATGCCCCAAGTCGGCCCAGAGAGGCCTCCCAATCGGCTTCCGACGGCGTCAACGGCTTCCGACGGCATCAGACGGGCCAGGAGCCCACCAAGACGGCCGAACATGGCCCTAAGATGGCCCAAGATGGCCCAAGAGGCCTCCAAGAGGGCCTCCAGAAGGCCCGAAAATGCCAACATCATTGATTTCCCATGAGTTTTTGAAGGATGTTGGCATTTGCTTCTTCTCGGCCTTCCGACGGCCCGAGTGCCCCCAAAGATCGCCCAAGAGGCCCAAGACGGCCCAAAGAGGCTCCCAAGACGGCCCAAGAGGCCTCTAAGAAGAGGCGCCATGAAATCTGGGGAAATATCATGGCCCCCGCCATGATATCTCCCCCCCTAGCCATCACCCCCCCCTTTTCCGCCCCCGATTTCTGTGCAACGGCCTCACGGACTGAGGGCGGGCCGCCTTCAAAAAGGTGGCCCTCGCCGTCGCGCCGCGCCCAGTCGTCTTCTGCAGATTGCAGGGGTCCACGGGTGGAGGGCGGCTCCTTTTCGAAACGTGGCTCTCGCCAGAGCGCCGCGCACCTTCGGCGCATGACTTCACAACAGCTCCAGCGAGTCTCGTGATTACCGTCCTGGGATGTGTACGTTGACACGATGTCGGACTGTGGGAGCGCAACGTTATACGTGGTGTTGAACTCCCAGGAATGGTGCTCTGGCGCAATTCAGGATCGCCGAGACGCAACAGCGACGGTGATTGGCGGCGCCGACGTGCCAGCAATGGCGTTCTGGCACAGTCAAAGGTTTTCAAAAGGCTACCTTCCAACGGGGCACTTCGCTCAGTGTACATGAATCAGTGGAAGGGGCCATTCAAAAACACTTGGAGGAAGGGCTTGCTGCAATAGGTTGATGGGTCTTGGGTTTGCACTGGTCCTCCTCCTCCTCCTCCTCCTCCCCCCCTCTTCGTCCGCCTCCCTCCTCGTCCTCCCTCCTCGTCCTCCTCATCCTCCTCCCTCCTCGTCCTCCTCCCTCCTCGTCCTCCTCCTCCCTCCTCGTCGGCCCTCCTCGTCCGCCTCCCTCCTCGTCCCTCCTCGTCCCTCCTCGTCCCTCCTCGTCCTCCTCGTCCTCCTCGATCTCCTCCTCCTCCTCCGTCCCCCTCTTCCTCCTCCTCCTCCGCCTCCGCCTCCTCCTCCTCCTCCTGCGCCCCCCCTCCTCGTCCTCCTCGTCCGCCTTGCGCGCCTCGCCCCCTCCTCCTCGTCCTCCCCCCTCCTCCTCGTCCTCCTCGCCCTCGGGGAGGAGCCGCGGACCCCGACCGATCGGGCCCAGGCCCCCGCGAGGCCGCCGAAGGTGTCCGTCCCCCCCCCCCCCCCGGGGGGCGTCGGGAAACTCAGATGTGGATCCGAACTCTATGCACCGACGCTTTTTCCGGCCCTGCACCGAAACTCGCACAAGAAAGCGGATCCTGGTGTATACGGGATGCTGGCGTATACACGTTCGTCATTTCCCATGGAAAACGGGGGAAACAACTATACACCACACCACCCCGACGTCGTCCCTGACCCTCAAAAAGTCCAGGGATTGAAAAACAGCACGCCACTGGTAATGTGTATGTTCCAATTTCCGATCAGAGGAAGCTCGGCGGCGAGCCCAGGGGGGAAGAGTCGGAGGGGGCGGGCCTACTCTGAGGAGGCTCTCGGCAGGCCTCGGGCCAGCTCAGAAGAGTTGCCTGAGCCTCCTCCGAAGAGCGAGAGACGGCGCCTCGCAAGGCCGAGGGGACTTCTGCGAAGCCGCACCCCCTTGCCAGAAGGCCTGCCCCCTCTCACTTCCCCCTTGGGTCAGGTCGGGCGTATCCTCCCACGGGCGAATTTTGGACGAAACACTAAGCTAGCCACAGGATACCCAAAGATAGTCAAAGCATAATCGTGGAAGAATCGCTCCCACACCAGTTCTTGTACTATGTTTGAATCTTCCTCCTGTCGAGGGACACGCCCGACCTGACCCCTGGGGCTCGCCGCCGAGGCGCGCCGAAGCCGTCCGCCGTCCAGCTCCCTCGCGCCTCGACGCCCTCGCCAGTGGCGGGCAGGGGCGGTCCTGGCCGATCGCTGCGAGGACCACCTCTCGGTCGCCGCGGAGCTCCCAGCTCGCCCACCGCAGGGCCCAGCCCACCTGGCAGACCGCCTTCGGGGAGGAGGGGGGGAATCTTGCCCCGAGGAGGGGTGGGAGGAGGAGGAGGAGGAGGAGGAGGAGGAGGAGGAGGAGGAGGAGGAGGAGGAGGAGGGAGAGGAGGAGGAGGAGGAGGAGGAGGCGGAGGAGGAGGAGGAGGAGCAGGGGGAGGAGGAGGAGAGGAGGAGGAGGAGGAGGAGGAGGAGGAGGAGGAGGAGGACCTGGGGGAGGCCCAGAAGCCTCGAGCCTCGCCCACTCGAGGCCAGGTGGTGGGGCCAGAGGACAAACGCCCACGCAGGGCCCCCGGAGGAGGGGAATATCGGCCTCAAGCTGGGCCCGCTCCCCCACCCCACCTTGGGCTTGACCCCCCCTTGTACACCCTGCAAAATGCTCAAGAAATCATGGGTTAAGAAATTCATAGTCTCAGAACTTGAATAAAAAACCCAACGTTTCTATTAACATCTTAAGGTTTGCATTGAAACGTTAAGAATAATCGAGACTCTGGCCGAAAACTTAAGTTTTCTTAAGCATCGCCTAAGGTGTACATACCTTCGGCTCACGCCCGAACGCCTCAGAAGGACCAGCGGAGGATGAGGAGGGGGGGTCGGTCGGCACGTGGCTCCCAAGCCCAGGATATATAGCCAGAGGGGATCGGAGGGGATTGGCTGAGCCCCGTTGGCGCTGACCCTCGTTGAGTACAGTCGGGGCGTTGACCTCAGGGACCCTAAATAAGGAACGAGCCCCCTTTTTTCCATAAGTTAAACCTCCATTTCCGATCGAAAACAGAAGGACCACCTGGGGCAAGCTGTGAAACACTTAAGGGACGCGGAGCCCCTCCCCAACGAAAAGAGTTCCTTCTTCAGGGCCCCGACTGTACGCCCCCAGACCGCCTGCATCACCACGGCCCTGTCGCCCCTGGAGCTCAGCCCCGAAGCTGGGCTCGCTCCCAGGCAGCGTGCCCAAGCACGCCCAGAAGCCTCCCCCGCCCGACGCCCGACCACCTCCACCGCCACAGCGCGGTCGGCCCAGCGCTGGAAAAGCTCGCCGACGAGCCCAGACACGAGGGTGGAAATCCAGGACGCGGTTCCCTTCAGGACCCCTCTCCCCCCACCGCCTCCACCACCGCGCCCTTCGGTCGCCTTGGAGGCGATCGCCAGGCTCGCCATCGCTCGGACGTCCATTCCCCGTGCATCGTTCGGCTCCGTGCATGCTTTTTTGCTGAACTCGGGGATGGACAGGCCCCCCTTTAGTAAAACGTGGTTTAATGAAAACGACCTGAGGCCCAAACCTGGCGGGCGCAAGCCTGGAAAATAACGGCCACGGCGCCCTCTCGAGAACCGAAAACGGACAATTCACTAATCGACGTGTCACTGTTGGGGGTTCTGTCCACCCCCGATGGGGTGCTCCCCGACGGCCCCCGCCGAGCCAAGGTGCGCGCGCCCGAGCGACGCCGAGGGAACTCTGGCCCTGTCGAAGGGCAGCCGCTCTGGCCCAGACCGCGCCGTGCGCTTCTCTTCGCGCCCACGCGGGCGACCCTACGATGGAGTCGGGCCTGTCCCCCATACAGGGGGATTATTGGGCGAAACATGCTCAAACACAGGAAAAGAATTGGTCCCCAGACTACGGTGAAAACGTATAGTAAGGACGCGTGGTAAGGACGCAAGACCCTTGGAGGCCGAAGTTGGGTTTTTTAGGGCGGGGGGCGGCCAGTGAAAACGGCGAAGGACGGGCCTCAGAGGCAAGGACGCAAGGGCACCCTGGATGAAGGCGCGCGTCCTCACTGGGCGCGCTGACTGCATTTGTTTTAGACTATGTTTGAATATCCCTCCTGTAGAGGGAAGTCGGGTAGCAAAGGGGGGGTTTGAGAATCAGCTCGCGTAGCTGATTTTCGCGGCGCCTCCCGGCGCCGGGAGGCGCCCATGTATCGAGGAATGGGCCCCTTGGTGAAGCCGAAACCAGCTGCATGCAGCAAATTTCGTAACCCTCCCTTTCCCAATCCCCCCCTTTCGCCCGGCCCGAACTTAGCCCTGCGACCTCGAGCTGCGAAAAAAGCGAGCCCCCCGCGCGGGCGCGCCAACGGACCCGCGCCCGCGCCGACCCGGGTCGGCCAGGGCCCCCTGTCGCGAAGCCCGGCCGGCCGCCCGGCAGCTCTCCCCCACCTGGGCCGGCGGAGGGAGGAGGAGGAGGAGGAGGAGGAGGAGGAGGAGGAGGAGGAGAAGAGGGAGGAGGAGGAGGAGGAGGAGGAGGAGGAGGAGGAGGAGCGAGGAGGAGAAGGCAGAGGAGGGGGTGCAGGAGGAGGAGGGAAGCGGCCACGCGAGGCCCCCGAAAGCCAGGTCAGCCCGCCAGAAGGGGGTTGGCCGACCACCCTTGGCACTGACCCCGGGCACGTGAGCCCCGAGCGACCCTCCGACCTGACGTTGCAAACAGAAGTACAACAGTGCCAAACATCACCACTGGAGCCCTCCTCCTCCTCCTCCTCCTCTCCCCTCCTCCTCCTCCTCCTCCTCCTCCTCCTCCTCCTCCTCCTCCTCCACGGACCCCATCGAGACGGATCGATCTGTGAGGGTCCCGAGGAGAATCCGGGCGAAAAAACACGTTCTGAAAGAACTGGCACCGCCATGATCTCAGGGACGCCCGACCTGAATGCGGCCGCAGGCGATCTCCATGGGCACGCAGACCGCGACGCGCGATTATCTCCGCACCCCCGCGGGTGACCTAGAACTGCGGAGACCAAAAGGTACCGATGCCGCTGCTCCCCGGACCTCTCCCCCGGGGTGGGCTCTGACCAGAACGTCCAGGCGCACCCGGCGGTGGCGACGAGGGCCACCCAGGAAGCCCCCAAGGGCGGGAAAACGAGGGAAAGGCCTCGGTGCTCTCTGAAGAAGCTCCAGCTTCGGAACTCGAGCCACGACCGACGCCCACAGGCCTCCATCACCACGGCCCGGTCGCCCTGGAAGTGGTCGCCAACGAACTCCAGGGCGCCCCCGTGGCCGCGCACGGCGGCCACCGCGATCTCGCGGTCCCAGCGGGCGTCCCCGAGGGCGAACTCCAGCGCCCAGCTGTCCTGGGGACCGGAGGCTCCTCCTCCTCCTCCTCCTCCTCCTCCTCCTCCTCCTCCTCCTCCCCCCTCCACCTCACCCCTCTCTCCTCCTCCTCTCCTCCTCCTCCTTCCTCCTCCTCCTCCTCCTCTTCCTCTCCTCTCCTACCTCCTCTCCTCCTCATCATCTCATCATCATCATCATCATCATATCTCATCATCCTCTTCCTCCCTCCTCCTCCTCCTCCTCCTCCTCCTCCTCTTCCTTCTCCTGGGGGGGGGGTACGCTAAGCGGGGCGAGGAAGGCGCCGTTCACGTCAGGGTGTACGAGCAAGAGAAAGAACGATGGCGCGACCTGCGCCGAGCGCAGTGAAACACCGTGAAGCTCCCGTCATCACGAGCTCCGTGGGCAGGAGCGGCGCAAAGTCTGCCATGCGCACCCCTCGCCAAGACGGCCCACAAGGCGTGGCCGACACCGGCCACGACCCACGCGGGGGCAAGATCGGGAGCGGCCAAGAGGGGGGCGCCCAAGAGGGGGGGCGCAAATCATGGCCAGCGGCACGTGCGCGGCCCCCGGGGGGGGGAGGCTGGGGACGCATTGAAATGAGAAGAGCCGCCAAGAAATCTGGGGAGATAGCATGGCCCCCGCCATGATATCCCCCTCTAGTCATCGCACCCCTCTCTGCCGCCCCCGAGATGGTCCTCGCGCTGTCGCGCCTCCCCCCTCCGCTGGAGCATGATGAGGGACTCGCGCCCCCGCTCTGAAGTCGCCCCGGCCGTGAAGCGCGACTGGCTTCGCAGCCTCGTGGTGGCCCTCGCCATCGCTCGGACGTCCATTCCCTGTGTTTTTGTTCGGCTTCGTGCGTTGTCCGCCAAATGATCAAGGATGCTCCTCGACTGTCCTCGCCGAAGGAAGAATGCACACGTCCGAGCGATGCCAGGGGCCCTAGAACGGTGGGGCGAAGGTGCTCGGGACGAGGTCTGGCCGTACTCCGGCTCTGGAGAGGCCCTCCTGGAGCACGGCCGGCCAGGCAAAGCCAGGACAGGGACAGGATCGGACAGGGATGAACATCGGGGATCTCTGAGGATCCGACGGTTCTGGAGGATGTATCGGGCGCCGCGGCCTTCTCGGGGCGTTCCAGAACGCTTCCCAGAGCGTTCACCGAAGGTCTGGACAGATAGATCCCTGTCCTAGCCTCGCTCGAGTCAGACCTCCCAGGAGGAGGGAGGAGCAAGGACTTTCCACAACGGGCTCAGTCGGGGCTTCGGAGGACTTCGTCCGAGTGGTCTCCCATGGAAAACGCGAGACACAAACCTAGGTCCCCCATGCCTGGCCATCGCTCGGACGTCCATTCCCTGTGCTTTGTTCGGTTTCGTGCGTGGCTTGTTTGCCAAATGATCAAGGATGCTCCTCGATGGTCCTCGCCGAAGAAAAAATACACACGTCCGACCGATGCCAAGATGCTGGCGAAGAAAACAGGACAACGGAAGGAGAGGGCACGCGGGGGGAGGGGAGGGAGAGCAACCGAGGGCGAAGACGAGGACGACGACCGACGACGACGACGACGACGACCTCTCCTCCTCTTCCTCCTCCGATTCTCGTCCCTCCCCCCTTCCCCTCCCCTCCCCTCCCGCTCCTCCTCCTCCTTCTCCTCCTCCTCCTCCCTCCTCCTCCTCCTCCTCCTCCTTCTCCTCTTCCTTCTCCGACTCCTCCTCCTCCTCCTCCTCCTCCTCCTCCTCCTCCTCCTCCTCCTCCTCCTCCTCCTCCTCCTCCCCCTCGTCCCCCCTGCAGTTGCAGCTGCCCGAGCGCTGCCAGCCAGCTGCGCCCAAGGCAAGAAGAGCTGGCGCGGCCCCGCCCGGGGCCCCCCCTCGCACCGCGGCGCAGGAGGAGGCGATAGCCAAAGACTGCCGTGCCGTGCAACGGGGGAGGGTTTGGGGAGGAATAGAAATCCACCCTCCGAATAATCACCCCGACACGCGAATTCGTTTCGTAAACGCACCCCACGAAGGAATCGAACAGGTCAGGGCTGTTTAGTAAACGTCCAGGGCCGTTTAGTCAAAGTCGGATATCGGGTCCGGGTGGTTATTCCTCCCATCAAGGAAGGGGTGCAGGGCAGGGCTCGACCTAAACTGTGTTTCTCGTTCTCGTTTTGCTTTCATTCTCCCTTCGAATTGTCTTCCATCCGCCTTTTGCGACAAGACGAGATCAGAACGAAAACCGTTCACGAGTCTAGCCCTGGTAAAGGGAGAAAGCAAGGAGAGAAAGGATGGTGGCGGAGGAGAAGGACGAGGAGGAAGGCTATCAAGAGGAACGAGCGTGGAGCAGGAAGGCGACAATGACAATGCGGAATGGAAGCTGGAGGAAGAGAAAGAGAAGCAATGCAGGCAGGAGGAGACCCACCAGCCCTTTAGGACATGATTGGTTTGGAGGGTTTCCTCTTCTAACCCCCCAACCCCCGTTCTCCCCCCTCTGTGAAGGGTTCACCCCGCGTGTCGGACTAATCCCAACCAACTGGGACGAATCCCAACCGGTACTTTTTCGAACCAACACGAAACACAAAACTAGTACGAATTCCAAAACAGAGAGACACCTCACTGTATAATTGTACTTGTGCGTCGATGCCAATACATCCGAAAACCACATAATCTGCGTACGTGTGCACATGTATTCCAGAAACTAACCTGAGTGACCGGATTGGAATTGATACCAAGACGGCTTGCGATGACGTGAAATTCCAAATGTTGATGTGGACTGCGGTGTTAATGAATAGGTGCTACATCTTCTAGAACCGAAGGGAAAAACAATACCCAGGAAGCACGGACAAGGGTTGTCCGGAAATTGTGTGTAAATGTTTAAGGGCTTCAGAGTTTGAGGGATGAACGGCTCAAGAGTTCGAGGGCGAACTGGTGTAAGTGTTCAAGCATTTAATGGCTTATGGGCTGAAGGGTGTAAGAGCTGAAGGGTTTGCGGGCTTCAAGGTCTAGCTGCTGCGGCTTGGGTGCAACTTATGTGCTGGGAGGGCGGATGGGAGTGAACGAGACGGCTTGCGGGCGGGGAGGGTAGCTTGTCCCGTCCCCCTCCCCCCTCTCCCTGGATCTGGACGGGGCGTTTGGCGAGACATTGGAGCGTCCAAAATGGCCTCGGCGAGATGGCCAACAACATTGGTTCTACGACGGTGTTGGCCACATTGTGGCCCTAATGCCCCCCCCTTGGAAAGGAGAATTGAAGATTCTAACTCCCCCAACCTTCTCTCTTCCGGCTCCCCGGGGGAGGGTTCGAACCCCCCTCCTTCCCTCCCCGGGCGCCGACGCCGGCGCCGACGCTTGCGGCGGCCAGCAGCGCCGACGGCGGGGACGCGGCGACGATGACCAGAGAGGGCCCAGAGGCCGCAGCGGAAAAACACAAATCGCCATATCGAGCCCTCGCCCCCCAAAAGCCACTGGGTGGCAACCACCTCTTCCGGGTGGCCAGCGGGACGCGCCGGAGCCCCAGGGGGAGTTCTGTTGGAAAAAAACAAAGCCAAAGCCGTAATAGTCTAGCACGCCAGGCACCCCTTTGCTAAAGCAAAAGGGGGCGGCGGACTAATAGCCTTCGGCCCATCCCGCCACCGTGCCTGGGTTGTGGGGATGAAGCCTATTGAATGTTCGTGGGGATCTCCTAGAAGGCCTCTCGGAGGCCTCTTAGAGGCAGTTTGGACGCCTCTTGGGGGCCGCTTCGGGGCCTCTTGGGGGCGTCTTGGGCCCTCTTGGGGGCCTCCTGGGAGCCTCGTGGGGCCTGGGCGCCTCTTGAGAACTCCTGGGAGCTTCTTGGGGCGAAAGGCTCGGACTTTCGGTTCGTGTTCCCTCTCTTGGGCACCTTTCGCGGCCATCCGGGGGGCGTCTTGGGCGCCTCTTGGGCCGTCTTGGGGCGCTCTGCGGCCGTCTTGGGGCCTTTTTGGAGGCCTCTTGGGCCGTTTCGGAGAGGTTTGGGGGGCCTCTTATGCCTTCTTGGAGACGGTTTTCCTGCCCCAGACGGCCCCAAGATGGCCTCCAAGACGGCCAAGATGCCTCCAAGACGGCCAAGATGGCCTCCAAGACGGCTCAGATGGTCCCAAGATGCCTCCAAGACGGCCCAAGATGTACCCAAGACTGCCTAAGATAGCCTGACTATGGCCCAAGACGGCCCAAAAGAGGCCACCAAGAGGCCTCCAAGACGGCCCAAGAGGCCTCCGAGAGGTCCTCCAGGAAGGCCCGACGAGGCCAAAATCACTGATTTTCCGCAGCTGTTTGAAGGATTTTGCTATTTGCGCCTTTTCGGCTTTCCGACGGCCCCAGACGGCCCAAGAGACCCCCAAGATCGCCCCAAGATCGCCCAAGAGGCCTCCAAGATGGCCCCGTGACGGCCCAAGAGGCCCCCAAGACGGCCCCAAGAGGGCCCCAAGACGGCCCCAGAGGCCTCCAAGACGCCCAAGATGGCCTCCAGGACGGCCCTGGAGAACCCCAACAGGGCCCCAAATCGGCTCAGAAAGGCTCCCGAAACGGCTTCCGACGGCGTCAGACGGGCCAGGAGCCCACCAAGATGGCCGAAGGTGGCTCGCAGCTGGCCCAAGACGACCCAAGAGGCCTCCAAGAGGGCCTCCAGGAAGGCCCGAAGAGGCCAAAAAGAGTGATCATCCTAAAGTTTTTGAAGGATTTTGAAATTTGCTTCGTTTCGGCCTTCCGACGGCCCGATACAGCCCAAGAGCTCCCAAAGGTCGCCCAAGGATCGCCCAAGAGGCCTCCAAGATGGCCCCAGAACGGCCCAAAAGGCGCCCAAGACGGCCCCAAGAGGCCCCCAAGACGGCCCAAGAGGCCTCCAAGACTCCCAAGATGGCCTCCAAGACGGCCCACGAGCCCTCCAAGACGTCCTCCAAGAAGGCCCGAAAGGGTCAAAATGGCCTCCAGACGGCCAAGATGACCTTCAAGATGCCCACGTGTTCCCCGAAGGCTTTCCAAACCGATTCGGGGAACACATGGTCCGATAGCTTGGCAGGTCTGGCCTCAACGTTCGACCACGTAGGCGCTTCCCCAAAGGCAGGGGGCGGCGGTGATTCGCCGTAGGCGTCTTCGATTTAGGCTCCACCGAGACACCCAAGACGCTCTTCCCCAAGACAACAAAAGATGACTCCAGGAAGCTCTAAAGAGACATCTGGAGAGACTCCGAGAGGCATCCCAAGAGGCCTCTCGCCAGGCCAGTCTGCTCGCCCTGCTCCTCTTCCTCCTCCGTATCATCAATATCATCATCCGCCTACTCCTATTCCTCGTCCTCCCTCCTCTTCGCCCACCCCCTCCTCTCCTCCGATTCCTCATCCGTGCTCCCCGTCTTCGGGCACGACAGCTTCTCACCCCTGTATTTCACTGCATGCTTCTCCAAGTCCCTGATCAAGGCAACTCGCCTGGGGACCGTTCTGGATGGGCTGGCGGGGTTATGCGAGGCGTCTACATACGAATAAGAGGAAGACGCGGGGGAGGAGGAGCTTGCCGAGGAGGGAGGATGACTGCGGAGAGGGGCAGGCGGAGTACAGCAGTGGCCCGACCACAAGAAACCTTCCACAAGAAACCCAACCCTGAGACCCCGGGACGTCCCTCGACTTTTGGCGTGGGGACGTCGCGCTTTCCAGCGCGAAGCCATCGAAACCCAAGAAGCCCAGGGCACCCTGGAGGCAAGCAGGGCGTTTCTTGGCATGGGCCCCCCCTGAAGCAGTAGCAGCAGCAACAGCAGGGGCTGGCTTGGACGGAGTGGGGCCCTCGGGGGCCCTGAGGAGAGAGAAGCCGGAGGCGCATCGAGCAGGCAGGGAGCTCGTCCTCCGCATCTTCCTCACGCTCCTTCTCCTCCTCCTCCTCCTCCTCCTCCTCTAACTCCTGCTCCTCCTCCCCCTCCTCCTCCTCCCCCTCCTCCTCCTCCTCCTCATCTGCCGTTCCCCGCTACAGGCTCTTCCCCCTCCTCGCCTCTGCCCCGCTGTCCCCCCCTTCTCTTTGGGGGGGGGGAGAGGGCGACGACGAAGACGGAAAGACGGGGAGAGGAGGACGCGGGGAGGAGGGCGCAGGGAGGAGGGCGCAGGGAGGAGGACAGGGGCGAGAACGCGATGGGGCAGGAACGGGGGAGGGGGCGGAGGCGGGCGGAGGGGGGCAGCTGAGGCGAGAGGGGGTGCGGGTGGGAGGGTGGAGGGAGGCGGGGGGAGCGCCGGCGCACGACCGACGACCGACGACCGACGACCGACGACCGACGACCGACGACGACGACGACGACGACGACGCCGATGACGACGACGACGACGACGACGACGACGACGACGACGACGACGACGACGACGACGACGACGACGACGACGACGAGGCGGCGGACACCGAGGGCATGGAGCAGCAGGAGGCGCTGGGTCCTGGCCCACCGCGGCGGCCACCACCTCCCGGTCCGCTCGCAGCTCCTCGGCGGCGAACCGGAGGTCCGTACCTCTTCGCCGCCGACTCGGCGGCGCCGTCCGCCGCCAGTCGTGGCCACCGCTGGGCTGGCCGTCGTCTTCATCTTCGTCGTCGTCGTCGGCGTCGTCGTCGTCGCCGTCGTCGTCGTCGTCGTCGTCGTCCGTCGTCGTCCGTTGTCGTCATCCGTCGTCGTCGTCGGGGATCTGTCCGTCCGTCAGTCCGGCGTCGTCGTCGTCGTCGTGCGTCGGCGTCGTCGTCGTCGGTCGTCGGTCGTCGGTCGTCGGTCTTCGGTCGTCGTCGTGCGTCGGCGTCGGCGTCGTCGTCGTTGTCGTCGGTATCGTCGTCGCTCTCCTGATCCTTCTCCTCATCATCCTCCTCCAGCTCCTCCCCCTCATCATCATCCTCATCAGCATCCTCATCCGCATCAGCATCAGCATCAGCATCATCATCAGCATCATCAGCATCATCAGCATCATCAACACCATCATGGGCAGTAGCATCATCATCATCGTCACCATCACCACCATCCTCCTCCACCTCCGCCTCCGCCTCCTCCTCCTCATCATCATCATTATCATCAGCAGCAGCACCATCACCATCACCATCACAATCACCATCATAATCACCATCATCATGAACAACAACAGACTAAACATCATCATCACCATCAACATCATCAACATCAGCATCAGCATCACCATCATCATGGGCATCATCATCATTATCATCATCATTAACATCTTAATTAACATAATCAACATCATCATCATCGTCATCATCATCAGCATCATCAGCATCATCATCAGCATCACCATCAACAGCCTTATCATCAGCATCAGCATCATCAGCATCACCAGCATCATAAATCATCGTCGTCATCATCATCATCACCATCACAATCATCATCATCAGCATCATCATCGTCATCATCAGCATCATCATCATCATCATCATCATCATCATCATCATCGTCTTCATCATCATCATCATCATCATCATCATCTCCATCTTCATCATCATCAGCATCAACATCATCATCATCAGCATCATCACCGTCATCATCATCATAATGGCCCCACTGCGATCGCTAAGACTGCACGAACCTTGTTTTGCTGTGGTAGATGTTTGAAATATGTTGCCGTGCGAATAATCGTTCCAGATTCGTTGTTTTCGCATGTTTGTTGTACCAACCCTCTCAATTGCTCTCAACTCCCTGGGCTTGACGTTGCCAGCAACACCACGCAGAGCCCCGTACGTACCCGCCACCGTGCCAGGAGCACTGAGTGAACTGTCCTCAGATCACTTCGACTTCCGCATGGAGTGCACTTTAGTGCATATGTTTGGGCACTCTCGGGCGCCATCGTGCGTGCCTGGGGCTTGTCGCATGGCCTTTTGTTCGGGGGGTACAGATTCATGAGGAAACGCAGACCGCCAAGACGTCCCCAAGAGGCCCCCCAGAGGCGCCCAATAGGTCCCAGGATGCCTCCACGATTCCCCCCCAAGGTCCCTTAGAGGCATTCATTCGTCCGATTCCCCCTCCTTCCTCCCCCTCTTGGAATATGACGCCTTACCCAGCCCCTTCTTTCCACTGCACGCTTCTCCACATCCCTGATCAGGGCAACTCGTCTGGGCATCGTTCCTGGATGGGCTGGTGGGGCTACCCGAAGCGTCCAGAACTATCTGGGGCCTGCTGATGGGGGCCCTCCTCGGGGCGGGGAAGTCTCCTGGAGACCCCTCCCTCGGGCACCTCTTGGAATCCTCCCGGGGCACAGTGGGCGCCCGTTGGGCCGCCTTGGGGGCCTCTTCGGCGGCCCCGTGGCGATCTTGGAGGCCGGAGAGGGACGGGACGAAGGAGGAGGATGGAGCGAGGGCGCCCGTTGGCGGAGAAACAGGAGGGCAGAACGATGGCGGAGAGGCGGCAGGGAAGCAGGAGATGGCATGGAGGAGCAGGCGGAGGAGAGTGAGCAGGGGCCCCATCGCGCGGCAGTCGGCCCGAGGGCTCTCCGAGACACGGGGGCATCTGAGAGAGCTTATGGATTCTCCTGAAGGCCTCGCGGGCGGGAGCCCGAGGGCATTGTTCGGGCCTTTTTGGGGGGCGCTCTTGGAAGCTCCGTGGGAGCCTCACGGAGCCTCTTGGGGGCTTTTGGGAGGCCAGGTGGCGGTGTGGGGCCCCTGGGGGCCTCAGTGGGGCTCTTGGGGCAGCCTGGGCTCTCTCGGGGAGCCTCTTGGCCCCTCTGGGGGCCCCCCTTTGGGCGCTCGTGGGCGGTCTTAGGCGCAACCAGTGCCGTCTCGGGGCATTTTTGTTCATACCGAACTAGAGAGAGAGAGAGAGAGAGAGAAAAAACAAAAAAAGAGATAGAGAGAGAGAGGAAAACAAAAACAAATGTATGTATGTATGTATGTATATATATATATATGTATATACACACGAGACTGCAGTGGCGCTTTGCGCCATGCACCTTGGTCATTGAAATTTGGTATGCAAGCGGAAGGGCAGGAAGGTCAAGCCGACAATTTAGCGAGAACTCCTTGTTGCCTTTTCCAACATCGCCGCTAAAATGATAGTATTCGTTATCCTTCCTCCATGTTTTTTTTTGTTTTCTGATTCTCGCCAGACCCTGCGCATTCCCCCCATCCTCCTCAGCTCTTTTTGTGGAGGCTCCTCCTTGGAGAGCCTCTGGGGGCATCGCAAAAGTTTCAGGCTTTCTTAAGGCCTTCTGGAGGCCTCCTGGGCGTGTTCTGGAGGTTCTGGGGGCTTGCTCGGGCCACCCTGCCTCCAACCGCGGTCTCCCTGCCTCCAAAGTGTCTTGGGGCCGTCTTGGACCGCCATGGGGCTCTCTTAGGGCCATCTTTGACCCCTGTTGTGCCGTTTTGAGGCTATCTTGGACTGCCTGAAGCCCTTTCGGATGGTTGTGGGGCGATTTTGGAACCTCCCAGGCGGTTTCGGACGCCCAGAAGACTGCCGTATTGGAGCGTCGGGAAGCCGAAAGGAGAACCCCCAAATTCACCAAAAACCCTCAGGAAAGGCCTTCTTGGCAGTGCTCTTGGAGGCTTTTTGAAGCCTTTGGGGCCGTCCTGGAGGCCTCTTGGGCCATCTTGAGGTCACATCGGTCACTCATGGAGCGCTCTTGTGCTGTCTTGGGGGTCTCTGGGACGTCTCCGATGACCCCCCTGATCGCCCTAGGTGTGCTGAGAAGGCTTGGTAAAACGCCCTGCGAGGCCCGGGGGGCCGTTTCGAGGCCCGTCAGGAGGGTCCCAAAGCCCCAGATCCCGGGAGTCGAGTTTTTTGG